GGGTTTGATAGATTTCAGTCCAATGTGGAAAAAATACAAAATCCAACACAACATACTAAGATATAATGGGATTTATTTGGTTTTGGCTTAGATTTGATGGTCTTTGTCAAAACTCAGCTGTTAACATTTACAAAGCCAAAGAGAAGTTGAACCTATTGCCCAGGTGTTTTCCTCAGAGTGTTGGCAGATTCCCCTCAAAGGTTGAGGTCACTTTATACTAGAATCATAGATAAACATTTATGTTCTTGTATACCTCAAAACACCTTTTGAAGATCACATTCTTATTATATATACAACAGTGTGAAGTCACAGCTGCTAGTGAGGTTAGCCTTCATACCTATCAGGTTCCTTCCTAGAATGTTGTAATGTAACAGCGTAGTATTGGTGTGGATTCAAGCAGTGTGGCATTTTGTAACTGACAGATGGAAATTTTGTCAATACACAGATTTTCTAAGCATCGTTCAAGATTTTGGGGTATGGTCCCAAGTGGTAACCACTGGGATCGCCATGGCCAGTTTATATCATAATCTTTTAACTTTGATTTTCAGATCTTAATACTTTGCAATCTTCTCCAGTTCTATGTTTTCTATTCTACTGTAGCCTGGTATTGCCAATCAATTATCTACGCTTTCTTCTTTTCAACTATGTGTTGAAATAATTTACAAAATAATAGTAATAATAATATTAAAATGTATATGGTGCCCAACAGCCAGTGACTCTGAAGTTTAAGTTCTGCTCATTCATAATAGTTTGTGCTTTCTGCCTCCTGGCCTAATCACAAAAAGATTTAATTTTTTTCAGAAAAAGAAATTATCTACATGTCTTCCTATTCTTTTAGCTGGACAGCTTCCCATTTTGAAAACTACAGTGCTAATTTTTGCAAAAAGCCAACAACATGAAGAGTGCTGATCTTCTAAATTTTGGGATTAGGGAAACTAATATCTGCTTATTATATTTTAACACCTTTGAGTTTTCGCAACCTAAAACACAGGCTCTATTTATGGAAATTATTTCTTTTCATTTTCAAAAGGATATTTATTGCATAGATTTTAAGAGCAACTCACAAAGGAAATAAAGTTTACTACTGCCATTTCACAATTTGGTTTCCAAATAGGGAAGTTATCTATACAAGTGTTGCCCTCTAGCGTCCTCCATGAAGTATTTCTAAAGTATCGAACATAGGTGGACTTGATTGACAAGAAATAAGATGCAGAATATGTTCTACATCCTTTAATGAAATATTTATTTCTGTAATATTGAAGTCAAGGAAAAGATCTCTGCAGAAATTATTATCATATGATTTCTTTGTTAAAAGTAAATGCAAATATGTTGACGATAACTTTGCTTAAAGACAAAAAAAAAAATCCTTTTTCAAGTGTTTGAAGCACTCCAGAGAGGTATAACAAGGACTGTGTTTCCATCTCTGTATATTAGATATGCAATGTGGTGGAAGGGAAATTGTGAAACATCTATAAGGACACAAACTACCTTTATTAAACTGTTATTTCAAAAATGTGTGCAGGGACTCCTTGATTTACATTAGTAACCATCCAAAGTTACAATGGCACTGATAAAAAGGGTCTTATGACCAATTCTAGCAATTACGACTGTTGCAGCATCCCCACAGTGTTGTGATCAGAATTCGCACACTTGGCCACCTGGATGTATTTGGGATGGTTGCAGCATTCCAGGATCACGTGATCAGCATTTGTGACCTTCACAACTGGCATCCATCAAGGAAAGTCAATGGGGGAAGTCAGATTCACTTACCAACTACATGATTCACTTAAAAACTGCAGTGATTCACTTAACAACTGTGGCATAATAGGTCATAAAATCAGGCACAACTCACTTAACAATTGACTTGATTAGCAATGAAACTTCTGGTCTCAACTGTGGTCATAAGCCAAGGACTACCTATACAGCTAGATTCTATCTATATTTTACCTGTTGAAGAAAAAACAGGATTTTTCTGGATCATGTTCACAGCCATTCTTCAGTGCTGTACAGAGAGGCTGTGCATTTATTTGCTGCGGTAATTTTTAGGAAGAAGGGCTGCCCTGAAGCAGGAACTAATTTGAGAAAGAGACCTCCTTGCCACAAACATCACTAATTATAGAAAATTCTTAGGGACATTTGGGGTGTCAAAAAAGTCATGATGGCACTGACACTCAAGCTCTTTTATTTGATCTGCTTCTTTTAAATAATTTAAATCCCCCCTAGCTGTATTGTATTGTGCCAGTTTCCAACTGAACTTTTGGTAACCATTCAACGTTCTTTTGCTTCCTGAGACTTTAGTGTGGCAGAGTCTAACAAACAGTCCTTGTAAACATACGAAGACTACAGTATATAAAAGGAAAAATGAACACAACAAACAAACAAAACAGCTCTCGACACACATACACTTCATTGCAGAGCATTTTTAGGTCAGAAAAACGTATTCCTGGTGGATGAGATCTCAGGGTTGCACTATTATATGAGAGTTAGGGAATACTCTTATGCACTGCAAATTTTTGGTGTATTTGTCCATTTTCTATACTCTCTGAAGTGACCAATTTTGCTTCCATAAGAGTTGTTAATATACAGTATTTGGCACACCATGTAGTTTTAATATCACCATCTGGCACCTTCTATAGAAAGCAATTCCCAGAATTCTCAATAAGCACGGCCACTGCTGGCAGAGAATCCTGGAAATGTATTTTCTTACACAGATGGAAGACACCAGATTATGGAAGGCTCATTTTTTGATGTCTTAGGCTATTGTATCCAGAAGAACCAAACCAAAAGTACTCACTATTGAAAATAAAATGTTTGCAGCTCAAAAATAATATTTTGTTTCCTCATGAATCACAGGACTCATGTGAGATCAACAACGAACAAATTACAAAGGAAAAAAAGGCAATTGAACAAATGCTGTTTCAACCTACTACTTAATTTGAGGAAGGAAGTAGGGAAAGACGTTTATTTCTGAAGTACCAGCAATTCTTTATAGTAAAATTATGCTAAAAATCTAGCTACCCCAGATCAAAAGGAGGCACCAACTTGTACAAGTGATTCACCCAAATGGGTTTGAACTACAGCTTTCTATGGATGGGTATCGTTTCAGTGCACCCCATAGACAGCACAAATTAAGACAAGATGTGTCACAGCAGGAAGGATGTGTAGTAGGACTGGATACACAGAAGGAGTTAGGAAGCTTTCATTCATTCCTGGAATCCTAGACTTCTAGGACAGAATTGTAATATGCTATCAGAAGGCCCCACAGGAAAAGGAGAAATTGTGCTGGATAGGTAATAGAGAAGTAGTGGGGCTATGAAATAGCCCATGAGAAGCAACAATGACCTTAGGTGGGCATGAAACAGACTAGGGGAACAGGTGGTCATCCAGTTGTTGCTAAACAACATCTCTCAAGATCCCTGCCCAGCGTAGCCAATGGTAACACAGCTAAATGTGTTTTTGAGCCATATCTAGAAAACTGTAGGTATTCCACTTCTGATCTAAGTAACGAGGATCATATATACAAAAATCTTTGTTTTCTTCGCATATACAAATACAGTGAGAGAGAGAGAGGCAATAAGCATAAAGCTCCAGGCTTCAGCACAAAAACTGCTAGTAGATTGGGGTGAGGGTTACCTCTAAATGAGGAAAGTCATTAGTAGATATCACGTGAATTTTAATCTACTAAAGTCAGTGTCTGTCTTTTTCTGTCAGGTGATCCAGTGCAATTTATTAACTGTTCTGATTGCATTCAAACTATAATGATAGGTTGCAAACAAAGCAAACTACAGGTAGTCCTTGACTTACAAACATTCATTTAGTGACCGTTCAAAGATACAACAGCATTGAAAAAACTGAGTTATGACCGTTTTTTATACTTACTATGGTTGCAGCATCCCCACAGTCACGTGATCAAAAATTGGACACCTGGTAACCGGCATGTATTTATGATGGTTGCAGTGTCCTGAGGTCATATGATCATTTTTTAAGATCTTCTGACAAGCAAAGTCAATGGGGAAGCTATTTAACAGCTGTGTTATTTAACAACTGCAATGATTCACTTAATGACTATGGCAAGAAAGGTTGTAAAATGGGGCCAAACTCACTCAACAACTGGCCTGCTTAACAATGGAAACTTTGGGTTCGATTGTGGTGGTAAGTGGAGGACTACCTGTATGTAATGCTTAAACCAGATCATGGGCTTCATTTTACTAACGTAAACTCAATGCAATTAAAGTCATAGTTCGAATCTATTTCTGACATTGGTCAGAATCCGTCTACATTGAACCAAGTGGTTTATTTTATTTTGGCTTAGCGCAACAACAGAATCCAGCCATGAGATCATCCATGGCTTGTTTACTTTTAACTACAGAGGAAGCTTCCTGTGACTTCTTTAGATTGGTTGACTTCTTTAATAGTAAGACAATGTAATCCTTCAGAACAGGAGAATGTAGAACTGTAAAATGTATTCCTACCACATAGTCAGTTGTTCATCCAGTTATTGCTTCTTCCTATCCCTGAGCCTTTTTGTAGCTCAGTCATGCCTAGCCCAAATAACAGGGAGCCCTCTCATTTATAATCCTACATGTCAAAGACAGCCTTGATTAGAAGGTGGATGGAAGGAGTCCAGAGCAGAAGATAACAATTACTAGAGGAGGGAGGGAAGAAATGAAGGAACAAACAAATGAAAGAAGAAAATGTTCGGAATAGTGATGTTTCTAACTGCAAAGGTTAGGAATGAGTTGATGGGGTGGGTGAGCAAGTACCATCCTGTATTAGTCAAAATTAAATGAAATTAATTGGATACTAATAGCAGCTGATTTTGTGTGTGTGGGTTTGCTTGAGCAACACGTTGGAGAGAAAGGGTTCCAATTGCCATGGTGTATTTATTAAATACTCCCCCATATACAAACATACACATTCTTCCTCAGCTGCTATATTCTGCATTTCACACATCGATAAATCAAGATTGTCAAGTGCAAAAAAAGAAAAAAGAAACCTAGCTACAGCTCAGGCTTCGGTGAATGTGCTACTCTGATGTAGTTATCAGAGGCAGTGATATCGCTGTTCATGTGCTGCTCCAGGAACTCTGAGGTCTCTTCTGCAATTTGCCCTGGGATCCGGAAATCAATGGTAGCTTGGTCCCTTTTGGGGCTAGGCTGGGTAAGAGCATTTCTGGCCTCAGCGTGGCAACCTGTCCCTTGCAGGAATTGCAAGAAGTTCTCCTCAATGGAGCCTTCTCTGCTGGGTAACCTGAGATCCTCCTCTGGTGGTTGCTTGAAAAAACAGGTGAGGTGCTTGCTAAGCTCTCCTCTGATCTGTCGGTTGAGGCATCCGTAGAAGAAAGGATTAGATGTGAAGCAAAAATAACCAATCCAAGTGACCACATTCTCCGTCTGCTGGCCAGGAAAATGGGAGCTCAGCACCGAGTAGAGATGGAAGGAGAAATAGGGCAACCAGCAGAAGAGAAATTGTCCCCCCACTGCTAGGAGGATGATGACAGCCTTTCCACCCCCAAACGTCCTCTGGGGGGTAGTTCGAGGGGCTCCTGAGCTGGTCACCATTGTGGACCTACTACTAAGAGATTCTGACCTTTGCCGTGGGGTATCCATCCAAGTGGGGAGTGGGCCATGGTGCATAGCAGCTACTCTGGCCACTTTAAACATATTACAGTAGACCACCAAAATAATGGAGACCGGCAGGAGGAAGTAGAAAACAGCAAAGAAAATCACAAAAAATGTGCAGTAGGCACTTCGGCTCCACTGCAAGGAACAGGTCTGTCCATTGTAGGCTAGGGATCTATTGATACGGTCTTGGGAAAGCCATCCCAGAATGGGGATGATGGACATAACTACTGCCTTGATCCAGACACCAACCAGGACACAGACCACCAGGCTTACAGTCATTTTGACCTCATAGCGCATGGGGTGCACCACATAGTAGTAGCGCTCTATATTAATAGCTGAGATTGAAAGGATACACATGGTGATGAAGCAAACACTCAGGAAGAGATAGGTATGACATATGGCATCCTCAAAGACTGTGCCATCAAAGAAAGTTGAGCTGGACAACATGGCTAGAGGCATTAGGGTAAGAGCAGCCAAAAGATCCACCAAGCAGAGGTGGAACACAAAGACAAACTTCCTCAGTGCTGGGGTTTTGATAATGACCGTCATAATTGCTACATTGCTCACAATAGCTGTCAAATCAATCAAAAGCATGAAGAAGAGACCCACAGACTCGGAGGCCACATCTCTGGGCTTGGTGTCTAGGCTAGAATTGAGAAGCATAGAACTTTGGGATGTCTGAAGCAGTCTTCTGATCCTGGAAGGATTCCGTACCCACGGGGTGGGAAGAGAAGGCTCCATGGAGATTAGCTCCTCCCTTTACAAGTCCATCATCCATCCTATTCTGGGTCCCCAGAAAGTAATCAGAGAGAATCAAGAGAGATGGTGGTGCACAAGCAGCCACTAGCCATATCGTTTGCCAACATTCCAGTTCAGAAGGTCTTTGGGGTACTTATACCTACCAGTACCACTCAGTTCTCTGAGCCATTATAATTAGGGACTATGCTTAATTCAGCAAATCTGTTTCATCTTGATTGTATGTCATAGGATATAATAGCATGGCAGTGTAGAAAATCCATGGGACCCAGTCTGATTATGAAGAATAGTCCCTTCCTTGCTAAGTGTATAAGGCTTTACTGCATCTTGCAACATGCTGTTTCCGAGGCAAATATTTGTACCTGAAAGAAATACATATATATTTACAGATTAAACACTGTGTCAACCAAAAGCTGTTCCACTGGCAGAGTTACATTTGGGGCTGACTGAAATGGGCAGTTTTGCTTTTAAAGCAGATTTTCCTTTTCAGGGGAGCTATTTGGATGGTTGCTGTGGAAGTCAGACCCTTTGAACTTTCTGGAAAATGATGAGGGTGGTCTGTTTCAGGGGACTTAACAGTGGATGCTCCCAAGAAAAGAGAGTGGGATTCTGAGTTCATCCCCCAGCCTACTGAGGGTTGAGTCCTAAATGAGAATGTGCATCTAACCATACATTTATCATGCAAAAAAACAGAGTTTAAATTGAATTGTTTCTGAATATGAGATTTTTACTTTATTTTTATTTTATACGTTCCCGTCCCATTTTTTTTTCCATGTTAATAATGTGAAGAATGCGGGAGATATCTCAGCAGTGGAAAGATGGGGTAGAAGAGAGTAGAAATCCCAATGGGGATGATCACTAGCAACTGAGAGAGGAATATATTTAAAAGACAGAAGAGATATATAGCAGAGCAGCATTCTATTTGGCTCTCTCCTCTTTTAGTCAGCTCTCTGAGGGTAATTACCACATGCTATGATTGCAGATGAAAGAGCTAGCCTTGTGTGCACTACTAGAAGATGGGTAACTACTCTGAATAAAGTGTTGCAAACCTTTTTGAGTACAGCATTGTTGGAAATCAGCACTTACCCTCCTAGAGAAGGAAATATTTTGGGAGATATTAAAACAGGCAGAATATTATATTTCTCCAAAAGGAATAATGGAGAAAAATCTTAGGCAGAAACCAGTCCCCAGTCTCCTTCCCCTAAGCAGGCCAGCTTTTAAAAATGCAGATTTGGGGCCACCTATTCATAAACAAAATGCCTTCAGCCATAGCCCCAGAGAAGATTTGAGGTGATGGGATTAGAAAAACAAAGACTCCAAGGACAGGAACGTGACCTTTAGGACATAATAGGATTAACCCACCATCATTAGAATATTATAAGGACACACCCAAGCTCAAGTCAAAGTACATTGTACAGGAACAGGAACAATCTCAAATACAAAGCCCAAAGAAGGTATAAAAACCCACCCATTCCCAACTCCATTTTGTCAGCTGTCCCAGAACTGCATGCTGTTGCTCTTCTGCTCTTCAATAAACAAACCTTCTTTCCAAATAGCCTCCATTTTTATTTCCAGTGCCTTAGCCTCCATTTTGTTTACTCCCAGCTTGGAACTGGACCTGAAGTTTTTTCTTTCAACAGCATCAGTTATGACTGCAAGAATTGAGATCCATTAAATCTTACTGACCAGAAAACTTCTTCAAAGACGATAAAAGCCTTTTCCTGGGGTTTGGTTAAGGATACACTATGTTTACTATTAGTATACAGCCCACTCTCCTAAACAAGCTGACTGTGGTGGACTCAACAGAATTCCATGATAAGCATTTTTAAAATGTATGTTGGGACTGCCCTTATTCAAGAAGCTTTAAATTTCATGTGATAGCCATAGGTTTGTTTCATCAAACAAAGAAATAAGGCAGGGAATATCCTTGACTTAATTTTTTTTCCTTTAGACTTAGGGCAAATAGGTCAGATACTGCAAAGCAAGAGTTACAGTTGCTTGCTATCATAATGCAGCCATTATCTGGTGATGAATGTTAAGGGTCAGCTCTTAATATATTGTTCTCTTTTTATAGGAAAGGAATCGTTACAAAGACAGTTTGTCTCCACAGTCTTTGGAACCTCTTGAGTGAAGATCCTGTCAAGACCTTTGTTCTATGTAGTGGTGAAACAAAATGGACCACTAAGAAGATCATTCTTAAGAGCCCTCTTAGTGTTCTGGAACAAAATTTTCTGGGATAACACTGGGTAATAAAATGATATGAGAGATAGCTAGAAGGTGAATAGTAGCTTGCCATTAATGGATCATGTATATAATTTTGCTTTCCATTGCATCCTCGAGTAGTCACCCAAGGGAACTTTTTAGAGTGATTAAAAAGTTATATACCCTGTAAAACATGATAGAGACCTCCAAAACCTCCTGTGACAGATCTGCAGAGGCACTTTGATGATAAGTGTCATTCATCTTCATGCCAATTTTAACATGGTTTTAATATTGAGGTATAAAGTTCATCACTTGACTTAATCACATGGAACCATTTTCAACATCAGAGGCAGAAGACATGGACAAAATGCTAATATGTATCCTCTTGAACCCTGCCAGTCTTGATTTTTAAAAAAAAATCCAAAGAAGGGTGACTAAGTGGATCCATAGAGTGGTGAATATGTCTTTCTGTGATCTAGTGATAGCAGCTGGTTGTCTATCCTCTCCTAAACAAGTCCTCCCTAGGTCTAAGGATTATTCCAACTATTGCTGATACATATGTCCTTTGCTAAGGCAACATGCTTGAGAGGGTGATGTCAGTGTTGCTTTATATATTCTTAGAAGAAATTGATTACATTGACTCTTTTAAATGAAATTTAGGCATGGTTGGGGACAGAATCAGCCTAAGTGACCTTGACAGATGATTTCCTGCAAGAGAAAGACAGAGGGAATATGACTGATTGATCCTGCTTTGTTTTTCAGTATGTAGTTTCGATCTCATTGATCAAGGTTATGATTGTGAACTGGGAGTGCTGTATTATAGTGGTTCATTTCCTATTTTTAGTGTTGATCTCAGAAACCAGCTACTGCAGGGGTGTCAAACTCGCAACGTCATGTGACTGTCGCAATGTATCACAACTTTTTTGCCATTGCTGGCAATGGGGCGGGCACGGTTTCGTTATGATGCATCCGGCCCACGGGCCAGCAGTTTGACACCCCTGAGCTACTGTATGTGCTGCCTCAAGGTTTTATGTTGTCCAAAATAGTAATTAACATTAACATATTTTGAGATGTTGAGTTATCACTATGCTGTGGATACTCAATTCTAATTAGTTTCAAAAGTTATTCAAATCATTTTTTCAACTTTGCACAAAGAATTTTATTAGCTTTCATTAAAGGAACTCCACTTTTTCAGGTATCCATCTGAGCTTGAAAAACAGGTGGAGCTGCTGTAAGAGTAGCATTAACTTTAATGAGTGGATTCTTTAAAACAACAATATCTCTTTATTTCAGGTTAGAAAAAAGTCAGACTGCTTTAATATATAGCAAGGAAGTGATTCAGTCATGCCAGATCTAAAGTGCTCCTTCCAAAGTACACAGAGTCCTAATATAAACTATTTGAATAATAGACTGCATATTTTGAATTAGTATTGGGACAAGGTGATGAGAGGGTTGAAGGCCAACAAACAAGACAGAAACTATCCAGATAAATGATCCCTGGAAGTGGAGATTCTTCCTGTCCTAAATGGGATGTCGCTTCTAGAGTTCCTAGATAGGGAAAGACAGTTTCTGTTGTTCATGTACTGGTCACCTCAAGTATAGATTACTGTAACTGTGTTTCATCCAAAAGTCGTAGTTGATGCAAAATATAGTGGCCACAGGAAATTATGTTGTAACCTTAGAGTGAGAGGGCAAAATACAAATGCAACTGCTGTTAGGAAGATTAGAAGGTGCTTCTTTATAACTTTTCCTTTCATTTTTACTATTTCTTTCTTTATATTTTTTGAAATTACTTATTATTTTTCTTTACTTTCCTTTTTTATTTCAAAATTTTGTTTCTTTGTAAAAAATTTTTAATAAAAATTACACATGCACAAAATATAATGGTCATGTTGTTGAAGGAGACGTGCAGATATTCATATATTATACCTCTGTTGAACCAATTGTACTGGCTGCCAATTATTTATTTATTGCAGGATCCAATCTGAGTCAGTCACCAGAACCAAAGGGTTATTTTTTCAAGCTTTTGGGTTCATGCTGGGAACTTCTCTCTGTCCAGAATATGTGCACTGGGCTGTTCTACATGTTGTACTTATATGGTGCCTGGTTGTGTATAGTTCTTAATTAGGGTGTTGGGGTGGCTATTAAGTCATTATTTATTTATTAAAGTGATTTTTATTTATATCCCACCTTTATTATTTTTAGAAATAACTCAAAGTGGCAAACATCCAACACACATTCCTCTTCCTATTTTCCCCACAACAACAACTTTGTGAGGTGAGTTGGGCTGAGAGTGACTGGTCCAAGGTTATTTGGCTGGCTTTCATAGCTAAGGAAGGGCTTTAACTCACAGTCTCCTGCTTTCCTGCTTTTTTGGTTTAGCCGCAACCGACTAGACCAATCTGGCTCTCAGTTAGCTCACAATCCAGATTCAATGTTTTACTTCTGCATAAAATATTCCAAGTGATGCTTTTTCATGATAGTTCTGGGTGAATCTACTTTACAAGGTTCTACCTTGACATGATCTCTGCATAATTTCCTTGCTGAAATCTATAAGGCACCAGCAGCTATATCACTGAGGAATCGATCTTTTCACCAAAACCTTCACTAAGTCAATGTTACAGAGGAATTGGTCTTTTCCTTTTCCCCTTTTAATTAATGTGATTTGTATTGTTTTAATTTATTGTGTATGATTGCTTTTTTTCCTTATTTAGAAACCACTTTTGAAGATAATTATGCAGAAAGCTAAATACTGTAGAAGTACACAAATAGTAATGTGATTG